CTCTTATTCTGGTGAAAAAACTACACAACCCCAGTTTGTGTTGCATCCCTGCCATCTGATCTGTGCAACTGGAATCTTTAAGAAACACTTCCAACTTCTTTCTTGCCCAACGATTCTTTCTGTGTTTGAGAAATTGACAGCAGTGCAGCCGTTCTTATGCCAGGACTCGTTTCTAACATCTGTTTGCATAACATTTTAGACATAAGGCCAGGAGAGTAAAGCAGGAGCTACAATACAACTCCTCTGATAAATGTTTTGACAGTTAGCTTAGCTTTTGCTACCATTGATTTTGATGTTTTGACTCTTATTGAGACCAAATAGATATTAGGTGTATGTTTATTTATTTTCAGCCTATAGGAAGGTACAGTATATCTTTTTTTAGCTTGGATCAATTCTGCACCTTTAAACTGTACCGTAATGACTTCTATAGCTGCAGCTAATGATTCCACAGGATATTTAAAGCTTTTCTAAATTTAGCCTCTGTGTCACTCCTTCCTCTCAGTCCTCCTCACCAAATTCATTATCACCTCTTTCTGTGAGGCGGCCGTGGTTCACATGTTCCTGCTCAGCTGTTTAAACTTTTAAAGCCCCTTAGATTGAAGCAACTTTTCCATTAACTGAGATGTGTGATGATTTCATCCATTATGTGATACGTTTCATTTTTATCAGGCTGCATAGTTTTACTCAGCATGTCTTCTGGTTTTATATGAGTTACATTTCAAATTGGTCATGCATATTGGAAAGCAGATGAGACGTTTTCTTACCCTACTGAGTATCAGTCAGGAACATTTCATAGAATCTTGCATAATGCGTGTGAGTGTAGGCAAAGCATAGACCTCAAACGCTCTGATCTCTCTCCTCCTGCTAATTGTTGCTTGCAAACGTGTTGACTCTACTTTTCTCTTTTTTTCACACAGATACTGGATCTGCAAGCATTCTTAAACGAGCATCCTGGTATAACGATCACCTCTGGCAGTCATGAGGAACAAAGGGTAAGTTCTCATTTCTCCAACTGTAACCCTATGTTGTCTCCAGACCACATTGTCTTCAGAAAACGTCTTTACTTTCTAATGATTAAGAAACATATCTTTAGTGTGACGAATAACAAGCAATGCTGGATTCTTGTACGGAAAACATAAAAAGCCAAAGGAAACATCTGGCGATGGGTCAAAAACAAGCAGTTCTAGCAGATAAACTACATTTTTCATTGTTGGGAATTCTCCACCAGCTTCTTTCTCTCATACTTCAGATTTTTTAAACCAATAACGTTTAACTTCAGGTGTTACAGTAGCAGCCATTCAAAATGTCCCCACTTTCCTTGATGGGTCCTTGGCTGGTCCCTTACACTTCCTAGTTAAACATCAATCTTTCTACTAAAACATTCTTTCTGTCATGATTTGTGGACATTAAGATTTAAAGAGAAGCATCATCTCCTGGTCAGACCCTATAATTCAGTGTTAGGGTGGAGTCAGAGTAAAAACTCCAGTGGCTGGGAGTGGGCTGCCATTCGGCTGGCGTTTGACTGGGAAGGGTCATTTTGAATGGCTGCTGTTGTATAATGGATGTTAGCAAAGCAGAGACATCACAGCCATGAGTACATCAAATTATACTCTTTAAATCAGCACTTCAGAAAGATTAAAATCTGTTAAAACAACATTTGTTTGGTTTTGGATTCTTTTAAAATAAAGTTGTATTTTTTGACTCATGAATGAAATTGGTTACAGTGCTTTCATTTCTACTTCAAGACTCCTTATTTTGATCAGTCAAAGCTGTTAGAATATGGATGGTTGAGATTTAATCTTGAGATATCCAAATAAAAATGTCAAAAATTCATTCTAAAATGTCAAATATGTACATTTAAATGCAGTATATTTTTTTATTTCAAAGTCAAAGCTGCATTTTTGGATTAAAAATATTCAGATTGTATTTTGATTTTCTTCTCATGCTCATTTCTCTTTATTCTGGTCACACAATAAGCAGCCTTGAAGAAGAAAAATAAAAAAAAAACAGTTTGGAAAATCTATATCTGATTTCATTTGTGAGGCAAAAACTGCAGCTAAACTTGCAAATACAAAGCATAAATATGTTAGACTTAGAGACTTAGATTTATTTTGTCATTTTGTTTACAGGAAAATACAAAATAAATTTCGTTAAGAACAGCTCTTCAGACAATTTCATTTTTTCAAAGTCAAACCTTGAAAACAGTAAAAAAAAAATACATAAAAACAGTAACATATGACTGTATATTTACAGTTCTAACATTTCAGGGTTTAATTCTTTGTTTGTTTGTTTTTTTCAAATAATAAGATATAATAAAATACAATAAAATAACCCATTTTACAAAACATTCAGCAGTGTAATGGCAGTGGGGAAGAAACTGTTATGGAATCTGCTGGACCTGCATTGGATGCTTTGAATATGTAATAATTGTAATATGTAATAATTCATTTAAATGTTTGGGTTGAATAATCTAAAATAATAAATTGGTCACATTTTGATGATAAATATTTTGAAAATTAAATGTAAAGCATTATTTTTTTATTATTTAAATTAAAGACAAAGTGGAGGATGTTTTTTTTCTGGGTGGATAATCCAAATCAGTGGTCCTCCTAATTGTCAATCATTCTGGTGATATGTTTACGTAAGGCCGTCCTACGTGCTCGTTCCCATTTTCACAAACCGGTGGTGAGTCTGACATAGTGGAAAAATTGCAAATCTTCTTTTGAAAAGTTATCTTGTATGAGCGATACAGTAACTTTTAAACAGAGCGTGCACCAGGAGAAAGGGGCTTGCACGCGCTTGCACGTTTAGTAGGCGTTCCTTCTCGGTAGCAGGTACAGGGTTGTGAATGTGTTTTTTTTTTGTTTTTTTTTTATGGAGAGGGTGAGTCTTTTTTTAAAAAAGTGAAAATCCTCGAATAAATCTTTAATCTAAAAATAATTTGCGATCTTGAACATAAAATTGAAATTTTAGCTTGGATGATTTATTTCTGATTTTTGAAATTAAAAAGCTTTTTTTGATCATTTTGATTATAAAAATTGGGAGACATTTGCTTCCATGTCCTGGGATAGGTCCAGGATGGGTGATTATATGTACAGCTGTTCATGGAACATGTTGTTGTATGGAGGCAGTGAATCTGGACCATGCTCATCCATCAGCATGGCCACGTCTCAGCCTCCTCCTCTTTACGTCAGCTTAGCTGAGCTACGATCCCTGCTTATACACCTTCTCTGGCACATATTTAATTCCTCCTCTCATATCTCTTCCTATGTGTCAGCACCTTTGCTTCTTTATAGGCTCCTTCTGAAATGAACTGACACGTCTGCTTTGAAATATCACCAAATTAAGACTGCTGGCATGTGTAAGCAACGCAAATAAACCCAGAAATCCACAAATCAGTCGGAGGGCGGCGCAGATCCTCTCCTATTAAAATGTTGTCCACCCTGTAATCTTGGAAAGGTTGTTTTGTGTTGCTGGAAGGTTTGGACTGATTCCACATTGATCATGGCTGGGTTTCATTCAGCCTCAGCTTGCTGCTCATCGCTCATGTGTGGGATGCTGGGCTCGTTCTGTCATTAATCCCAGTCTGTGTCGCTACATCCTTTCTTTTCCCTAGAATATCTTTTTCTTCCAATATGTCTTCAGGCTTCCTGCTTTTCAGACTTATTTATTCCACTGCTTGATCCATACTGGGAGCTCTTAGTCATTAATAAGGGCTATCCACCAGCTACGTCTCCATAGTAACCAACTTGTTTACTAACTTTAAAGTAGTAGGGACGTCATATTTAAATTTCAAATCTTTCAGCGGCTCAGTTGTTTCCCAGAGGTCAGTTCTAAGCTCAGATCAGAGGATCCAGAGGATAAACATCAGCTTATCAAACTGATCCACATTCTGACAAATAGTAGACAAATAAACATTTGTCCTGTTGTGGTTCCGGTTCTGGGATGGGTCCTTTTTTTTATTGCAGACTATGATTTGAGGCAGTCCCTAGACATTACATTTGTTTATCAGCTTGCGTGATATAATCAACGCTGAGTTTATTCTGAGTAAACTCTGTTTCAGATGCAGTGGCACCAGAGTAGAGTCGGTGTTAGTATCTTTGCTTGTGGGACACATTTTAATTAAACCGAGTTCAATTAAATTGATTTTTAGCACCGATTCACTTCACAGGTCATCTCCCAGCTCTCTGCTTTTAAATCGGAGCAACAGGCGCAAATTATATGCAGAGTTGAATAGTCAATAGAAAGTAATCAGGTTTTTACTTAATTGAATCGATGGTGTTTTTTTTATTATTAGTTTAAGTGCAATTCGTTTTGGTTGATGCTAATTATGATCCTGGAAATATCAATGGAAGTAAAATATTTATCCATTTGATCAGAGGATTCAGTCTTTCGCTGTCCGGGACCTTCCCAAATTAAACTGAAGACAGTAATGTATAGGGTGGATGTAAAGGTATTGTGATCCAAGGGCAAGGTGTGGTGCTGATGATGAAGGTTTAAACAGCTGGTGGTTAAACCCAGACCCCCATGGTTAAAACCTCACTATTAAAATAGTTTGGATTAATTACTGACTGATTATTTTACATATATCATTATGTAATATATAAATAAGTAATATTACTTATTACCAGTGGCAGCTGGTGGAGTTTTCTCCAGAGGGGGCTATAAAGTCAAAATAGACGTATACACTTTATAAAAACAAAATATCATTTCATCTACAGGTTTAGTTTTTGTACATAAATCTTGCTCTTCTGAGACTTTTTGAAGGTAAATCTGTGTTTTGCATGGTCCAATATTGTGTCACAAACCTAAAAGAATCATGTACTAGTTTAATAACGGAGAAGCTATTAGTTAGCATTACATTTTTTTAATAAATACATTTTTTTTTGAGAATTTCTTTATTTAAGAGCAACCATGTGAATCCCAGATTCTTCATTCTTCTTTGCCTTTTATAAAAAAAAAAGTGCTTTAAATCAGTCCTAGCTGTCTTTATCCATGCTGGGTCAGATGCTGACATTTGAAGAAGGAGGCAGGAAAGCAGAATAAAGCTTTAGCCTCGCTGCATGCAGTTAGCCAAGCCTTGTAGCTAAACCAGGTCCTAGAAAAGAACGTTTCTTGCCCCATTTTCTCTCTCTCTCTCTCTCTCTCTCTCTCTCTCTCTCTCTCTCTCTCTCTCTCTCCAATGCTTCTCCAACTGACTCAACCTGTCAATCACCCACAAAACATCTACGCTGTGGCGGGAGGTGGTGAGCAAATACACTTCCTGACTGTCATGGTTTTGGTTTTGTTCAAGTTTTATCTCTGAGTTTTCATTGGTCTTATTTTTCATTCTTGTGTTCTAGTTATTTTTGATTGTATTTTAGTTCTAACATGTTTCCTGTTTGCCCTCTTGTGTCAGTCTCCACCCCCACTATGACACTGTCACCTCAGGTCACAGCTTAGCTGTGCCCAGAGCTCTACTATAGCTTTGTATTGCGGAGGAGCTGCTGCACATGTACAACTTTTAACGAGAGTCAATGGGCAAAGATTTTTGCACCCTAGGGCGGAAATACATCACCAATAAGAGGAAAAATGTAATGATGCTATACCAGTCATTAAAGGTTAAATATTTATCTTGCACATCTAAAATATATATTGATGTATTTTGAAATATTTTAGATTTAGATATTTTATATTAATTTAAAATTATATATATATATATATATTTATTTATTTATTTATTTATTTATTTATTTATTATTTTTTTTTATGTCTTAATCAGGGCCATTGAGTGGGTGGGGCGGCGCCCTAGCCCACCCTCTATTGGCCAGCCACCGCTGCTTATTACTTATTTATATATTAATATATTAACCTTACATGATAGAGAGGATCATTGAAGCATAGGTAAGGGTTAAATTTAAAATAAGTAAGGGTTCAATTCAAAGCAACAGAAAACAACAGAGACATCATTTAGTTTCCTTCTTCAATTTCTACATGAATGTAATTCTGATTA